GCAGTGGAGTGTGCAACTGAAAAGTGATTTGTTCTCCCAATATGCTAGTTGATGTAGGCTTTCATACACACTTATCTCTTAAAACTGAGTATATGGAGAGACTTTCCTTCATCTAGCACAAACGGAACGGGTTGCAGGAGAAACACTTACTCTGGTTTCTCAGTGATTTTCCTTGTGCCGGTTTGATGGTCCTGCAGTTTTCAGTGTAAAATCGAGTTTGAGCTTGTACCTCCCCATATACATTTATGTGGTTTTGGTTTGCAACTGAAAAGAAACTTTGTGTTCCCAACAAGGTAGTTGAAGGACCGCTTCATATGCAATTATCTCTCAGAAGTGAGCATGTGGAGAGACGTTCATTCATGAAGCACTTAATGAAATGTTTGCAAGAGAAACATTTTCTCTGCATTCTCAGTTTGATTCCTAGGGCCTGTTGCAATTTCCTATAGTTTGCACTGTAAAATAAAGTTGCAGACAGTGCCTCAGCATAAATATGCATGCAGTACATTTTCCAACTGATAATAAACTGTGTGTTCCTAACAAGCAAAGGGAATGACGGCTTTCAAAGACACTTATCCCTCAGAAAGTGACATGTGGATAGACGTTAATACATATAGCCCAATGGGACTGGTTTGCATGAGAAACACTTACTCTTTTTCTCAGTGTGGTTCCTAGTGCCGGTTTAATGTTCCTGCCATTTTCACTGTAAAGCCTACTAGGAAATATTGCCACCCCTTATGTATGTATGTATTGTAATTTCCAAATGAAAAGAATCTCTGTGTACCCAACATGGTAGGTGAAGTATGGCTTAAATGTACACTAATCTCTCAGAACTGAGCATGTGGGTAGACGTACCTTCATCTAGCACAAAGCAAACTGGTTGCAGAAGAGACAATTACTCTGGTTTCTCTGACTGTTTCTTAATTCTCGTTCGATATTCCTGCAGTTTTCACTGTAAAATCGTGTTGGGGGATGAACTTCCCCATATATATCTATGTCGTGTTTTTTCCAATTACAAAGAAACTTTGTGTTCCCAGAAATCTATGTGAAATACGGGTGTCACACACTCTTATATCTCAGAAAACAGCATGTGGAAATATGTTCGTTCATCTAGCTCAAAGGAAACCGTTTGTAGGAGAAACATTTACTCTGTTATCTCAGTCTCTTTCCTTGATCCTTTTTGTAGTTCCTGCAGTTTGGACTGTAAAATCAAGTTGGTGCTCGTACCTCACTATATATATATATATATATATATATATATATAAATGAAGTGTAGTTTCCAAATGAAAAGAAACTTTCTGTCCTTAAGCTAGGTGTAGTATGGCTTTCACACACAATTTTCTCTAAGTAATGCGGATGAGGAAAGTCTTTCATTCATATAGCACAAATGGAACAGTGTTTAGGAGAAACACTTACTATGGTGTATCAGTCCCTTTACTAGTGCCAGTTTGAAGTTCCTGCCAATTTCAGTATGAAACCGAGTTGGAGTTCGTCCCTCCCCATGTATATTTATGCAATGTAGTTTCCAAATGACAAGAAACTTTGTGTTCCCAACAAGATATTTGGAAGTTCGCTTTCACACACTATTATTTCTCAGAAATGAGCATGTGGATAGACATTCATTCATCTAGCACAAAGTGAAAGGGATGCAGGTGATAGAGATACTCTGGTTTCTCACTCTGTTGCACAGTGCTTGGTTGAATTTCCTGCAGTTTCCACTGTAAATCCGAGTTTTTAGTACCTCCCCAGATATATGTATGAAGTGTAGTTTCCAAAGAATAGAAACTTTGTGTTCCAACAAGCATAGGGCATGTTGGCTTTCACACACTATTATATCTTAGATCTCAGCATGGGGAGAGATGTTCGTTCATGTAGCACAAAGGAAAAGGTACCAATAAAAACACTTACTCTTGTTACTCAGGTTATTTCCTGCTGCCTGTTCGTTAATCCTGCAGTTTTCAGTTTAAAACCGATTTGAAGATACTCCCTACCCATATAAAAATATGTAGTGTAGTTTTCAATGGAAAACATAGTTTTTGCTTCCAATAAGCAAGGTTAATGATGGTTTCAAACAATAATCTCTCAAAATTGAACATATGGATAGAAGTATCTAGCGCAAACGAAACAAGTTGCAGTTGAAACACTTGCTCTGGTTTCTCAGGCTATTCCTAACTCTGGTGTGAAGTTCCTGCAGTTTTCATTGTTAAACCAGTTGGGGCTAACACCTCCCTTATATATATATATATATGTTGTTTCCAGTTGAAAAGAACCTTTGTGTTCCCAACAGCTTGGTGATGGAAGGATTTCACTCACAATTATCTCTCTGAATTTAGGATGTGTATAAAATTTCTTTCATCAAACACATAGGGAAAGGGTTGCAAGAGAAAAATTTCCTCTGTTTTTTCAGTCTGTTTCCTAGTGCCGGTTTCAAGTTGCCTGAAATTTTCACTGTAAAACCTTGTTGGAGATAATACCACACTATATATATGTATGAAGTGAAGTTTCCAAATGAAAAGGAACTTTGTGTTCCCAGGAACTTAGTTGAGGGACGGCTTTCACACACACATATCTCCCAGAAGTGAGCACATGGAGAGACCTTCGTTCATCTAGCACAAACAGAACGGGTTACAGGAGAAACACTTACTCTGTTTTCTCAGTCTGTTTCCTAGTTCTGCTTGGAAGTTCCTGCAGTTATCATTGTAAATCTGTGTTGGAGCTTGAACCTTCCCTTATATATGCATGTAGTGGAGTTTTCAACTGACAAGAAACTTTCTGTTCACAACAAGCTAGTTGAAGGAGAGCTTTCAAACACAATTATCACCCAGAACTGAGTATGTGTAGAGACGTTCGATCATCTAGCAAAAAGGGAACGGATTGTCGGAGAAACACTTTCTCTTGTTTATCAGTCAGTTTCCTAGTGCTGCTTTGACGATCCTGCAGTTTACACTGAAAAACCGAGTTGGACTTTGTTCCTCCCTATATAAATTTATGTAGTCAAGTTACAACTTAAAAGAACTTTTTGTTCCCAAGAAACTAGGTGAAGGACGGCTTTCACACACACTTATCTCTCAGAACTGAGCATGTGGAGAGACGTTCGTTCATCTAGCACAAAGGGAATGGATTGAAGTGGAAATTCTTACTCTGGTTTCTCAGTCTGTTTCCTACTGCCGGTACGAAGTTGCTGCAATTTTCAGTGTAAACCCAAGTTGGAGCTTGAACCTCCCCAATATATGTATGTAGTGGGGTTTGCAAATGAAAAGAAACTTTGTGTTCCCAACAAGATAGGTGAAGGTCAAGTTGCACACCCACTTATCTCCCAGAAGTGAGTATTTGGAGAGATGTTCGTTCATCTAGCACTAAGGGAACGGTTTGCAAGAGAAACTCTTTGTATGTTTTCTCAGTCTCTTTCCTAGTACTGGAATGAAATTCCCTCAGATTACACTGAAAATTGAGTTGGAGCTTGTACTATCCCACATAAATATATGTAGTGGAGTATGCAACTGAGAAGAATCTTTGTGTTCCCAAGAAGTTAGGTCAATGAAGGCTTTCACACACACATATCTCTAACAACTGAACATGTGGAGAAATATTTGTTAATCTAACACAAAGGGAAAGGTTTGCAGGAGAAACAAATACTCTGTTTTCTCAGTCTGTTACATAGGGCCGGTTGGAATTACCTGCAGTTTTCACTAAAAAACCGAGTTTGGGCATGTACCTTCCATATAAATTTATGTAGTGGAGTTTGCAACTGAAAAGAAACTATGTGTTCCCAACAAGCTATCTGAAGTGCGTGTTTCACATACACTTACCTCTCAGGATTGAGCATGTGGAGAGACATTCAATCATCTCGCACAAAGGGAAAGGGTGGCAGGAGAAACACTTTCTCTGTATGCTCAATCTGTTTCCTAGTGCTGCTTTGAAGTTCCTGCAGTTTTCACAGTACATCTGAGTTGGAACTTATTCCTCCCCATATATATGCATGTAGTGCAGGTGTCAAGCTAAAAGAAATTTTTGTGTTCCCAACAAGCTTCTGTGAAGGACGGATTGCACACATTCTTATTTCCCAGAACTGAGAATGTGGAGA